AAAATAATCTAAATCACTTATATTTGATGCCCAGGTTAGGTTGTCTCTTTTTAATTGATATTATTATATCTTAAAAAATATTAGCAATAAAGGAGAATCTATCTGATTGTGGACATTTAAAGTAATTTTCCATTGGTATCTATATAAATATTTGACCTAGTTCAGTGATTTTTTCAACATTAATGTGAATGGGAATCATCTAGGAATCTTGTTAAATTGCAGATTCTGATTCAGGAGGTCTGGGACAGGGCCTAAGGATCTGTATTTACAACAAGTTTCCAGATGATATTGATGCTGCTGATCTATGGAACATATTTTGTTAGCAAAGGTCCAATTGATATGTTCTCCCACTGAAAAATTATAATTATGGAAACATAATTTGATGGTGGGACATTAAACAATTACTAATATACCACTCATGACTAGTAAAGAAAATGAAAGTAGAACAATCCAAGATATTTCATGCAGAATATGTGTGAGTAAATGTGCAAATTGAGAGGAAAATATGAGGAAAAATAACTCCAAGAGAAAATAAATTTCAATATTAATAAAAGTTTTAGTCAAGCTCTAGTTCCATGTGAGCTCAATCTTGAAACTGGTTTGGTTCTTGGAAATGGTGAGTGTGAACATCTTCATTGGTATCATTTTAACATTTTTCTGAAATGCTTAATGATAGCTAGAAGTATTTCATAGAAACAGTAATTTGTTAAATAGGGAGATTTGAAGCAAAGCTTTCTGTTTTGAGGGATATTTTATGTTTGAACAAAGCTAAGTAAAGCTCTTATTTAATCTCTGCTACAAATATACGTATCCCTAAGGAAAACAATTCATCTTTATGGATAATATATTCTAACTTTAAATATGGAAGTGTTGTATTAGATATTCTCAAAATCTCTTCCCACTTTAATAGTCTATGATGTTATGATTCTGTTATATGTTAATGGAGCCATTTAATAACCTATTTCCTCAACCCTCACAAAAATTTTTCTTTTAAGCTGTGGAGATTGATGCTAGCCAATATCAGCATATGGCAAAATATTTTCATATCTTTCTCTTTCCCATTTCTTTCAAATTCTAAAACCACATTTTTATTCTTCAATAAATAACCAATTCTCTTTATCTTTTCCCTTCCAATATCACCCATGTAATAAATCCCAAATTGCTTGGTCTGACATGCTAGTTCTATGCTAATACTTAAGGTCAGCCTGAATTTAAACTTCTCAAGTTCACTCCCAAACGGCTGGATATAATCATGAAACACTGACCATTTATTAGAGTTTCTTAGAATTAAACAATCAGGATACCAAATATTTTAGGTTTGAAACAAGTGCAACAAAGGTAGTAAGAATAACCTAACATAAATGAAAAATAAAGATGTAATTTAAAATTCCTCAACTCCATTACAAACTAGTAAATTAAGAAACATTAAAAAATGATTAAATTCACAAACACACACAAAAGTACTTTCTGGCTAATGCTTTAAAGTATAGGAATTCATTTAAAATATAATTGAATCTCAAAAGACTGGCTGACAATGGAAGTTTCAAAAACACATCACTATATAAAGTAAAACAACATTTGCATAATAAAAGAAAGACTATCTTCCTTAGAGGTATAGATAAGTAATGAAAACTCCTGGATTCATGGAAGATACAATGGAATATGCTCAAGCTTGGCAGTTATGAATTAAGACAGCAAGCATGACACTGTTGATAATGCTATTTACTAAAAATCAGATATCAAATAAGCTAATGAATAAATTAAATTTTACTATAATTTTAACTTTGATTTTTTCTATTTATATTTATTTTGTTTATTTATTTTTCTTATTTTTCTTTTATTTTTTCATCAATATTTATCCCCTCTATGCCCTCTCTACCTCCACCCACCTCTTTCCCCCTGCAATCCTGAAATTATGTCCATAAATTCTCTATTTTTTGCTCAATCCCTCCATCCCCTCCTATTACTGCTCTCTCCCCTCCTCCCTCCCACCCCCAAGCTCTTGCTCTCAATCCATGAATCTGTCTTTATTTTTCTTGGTAGTTTGGTTTGTTCATTAAATTCCACATATTTGAGAATTATTTAAAATAAAACTAATATGGGATGCATTGTGATGGGACAATGGTAATAAGTCACAAATCCCACTCGGGATATCATTTAAGTTTACATTTGATAAAGCCAATGCTGAAACACTAACAATTATTGCTCTGCTCAAAGTAAGTTATTTTACTTATAATTTACAAATTTTTTTATTCCAGATAAATGTTTACATTTAAAAGCCAGAAACCAGTAATAATGTTAGCAACATGGCCAAATAAGATGTCCTTCACTCATAAACACCCTCACTCAAAAACAAATATTTGGCATCCACTCACGGACAAATGTTTCTTTCTGAGGGCTGTGGGGTTCAGCATCATACACCAAGGGACTCATGAGGAATCTCATCCACCCATGTGTTATGTAGCTGTATAGACCTTGGTCCTAACTGTAGAGGCCCATGAATTGGCTCCAACCCTTCTTGGCCATGGTCAGGGAACCTCTAGAACATTCTGTCACAGACAATTGCCCAGAGACAAGAGTCTTTGTGGAAATCCAGATTTCCAGTGAAGTTCCTGCTCATAGTCTTAAAGATGGAAGCCTATGTCAGTCCTGTTCCTCATTGGTCTTTGAGGTCTGTCTCTTTACTGTCTGCATCAAACCTGTGGTCCTTACTTCAGTGATGGTCAATAGTATCCACCAAAATGTTCAAGCTGAAACTTATCTTTCCAGGATGATTTCTTCTCCCTCTCCTCCACCCAGTTAGTACTTGAGTCTTATTGATTCCATTTCCTAAATATTTTCTGTATCTGTCTGTTGTTTTCCATCTTCTGTCCTAATTCAGTTCCTCATCAATGCTTAGTTAAAACTTTATAATATTATTTTGGGTGTCACAAGAGTGGCCTTTCCAATAAGAAAACCTAATAGTGTTACTCTCCTCCTCTGAATAATTTGTGGCCCCCCGTTGCCTCTTTGTTTATATTATGTCCTTCTTGCCTTTTAGACTCCAGCCATATTAAATTCCTTGGCGGCTACATGTTTATTCATACTTTCTTGCCTTTGCATGATGTTTTCATTGTCTGAAATCACAGTTTAAATTTTTATACTTGGCAAATTCCTACACATGATTTAGATCTTAGCTCATATTTACTTCTTCTGAGAAGCCTTCTCAAACTCCCATAGGAAAACTAGGTTGCTTCTTTTTTTTATGCTGTCACTTCTACTTCCATCAAATCTGCCATTTTATTTATTATGGGTTTATTTCCTTTCCGACTTCCTATAAAAATTCCAAGTTTAGAGGGACTTGGAGAGATTAAGTAATTTTACCAAGGCCACCTAGCTTGCTAGTTATAGAGCAAGAGTTGGAATCCAGATGGTCTGACTTCAACAATCAGGAATTTAACCCACTAGTTATGCCAACTACAGTCATTCATTATAGACATGATTGATTAGCTAATGCCATCTAATAATCTTTTTCTGGTTTTGACAATAAGAAATTATATATTGGATTAAAAAGGGCTTTCCACCAGGCTTAAATTATCTATCTATTTTAAGAACATTTACTGAATTTCCCCTAATAACTCAACTATCTTACCAAGTCTTTGGGGCTTTAGCCTCTATATTCAGACTTCATCAACCACCTCAAAATTCTTTCCTCTCCCAATGATCTCCTCTCACTCTTCCCCTAACTAAAAAAAAAAAATTCTGAGCTTTATTTCCATCAATCTTACTCAAACAACTCTGCCAACTAATTGTAAAGTGAATTTAGTAAACTTGCAGTGTCAGTTAGCTAGAATTTACATTAAAATAGGAAGCCCTTGAAAATAGAAACCCTTAAATTGCAGAAGTATAGGTCTCTTGTGGAATGACAGGTTGTGCATGTTGAAAAGAACATTCTGTCCAGAACTTGTCTCAAATCACAATGATTAGATAAATGTCTCAATGATTGGAGCTGGCTCTGTTTAGAAATTATCTTTTAACCCTGAACACCTTGCTAACAAAACACAACAATAAAAACACAAGATTTTCTTCTAATATTTAATTCCTCCTAAGTATAGCTCATAGGTATATGAGTTTGCTAGTAAGTTGCTTCTACTTGAGAGACAAGAGGAAACAAAAATAATACACTCCAAAGTTAACACAGTGGTCTATCAGTCTTTTAATTGATAGAAAATATTCACTTCATTTGCATATTAAACAGATTTAAAATAGTAAAGCAAAGTGAAGAAAAATTATTTCTGCAATTTTTAGAAATCTAATACTATTTAGAGGGACATAACACAAGTTCTTCCCAAACTATGACACATGGATAAAAACTTGCCACCGAAGTTACACATTCTGGAGCTATGAAATGTTTCCCTGTTCATAATGGTTCACAAGAACACTATTCAAAGTTAACACTAATAACAATCTAATAACTTTTAATAGTTCAATTGAGAAAGTGTAAATATTAAGGATTACCTATTTTTTAAGATGAAAATTAGCAAATCTAAGCACTTGATCTTTGTTGGTAGGTCACAGGAATTTTAGAGGCATTGCATTGTTTGATTTTTATGTCAGAGGGAGCTGAGGATATATAGATGAGTGAGAGAAGATAGAACAAAATTGCATTTACAAAAGCAAGTCCCTTCCCCCCAATGGGCTGCGTGAAATTGGTTGAAATTTTCCGTGTAATCTTTGCTATAATCATTAAGTTGAAACATTAACCTCTCTCTGGGAGATCAGCAGATGGAGCCAAAGTGGCCATATTTCATGATGCATACATTGATCTGGGAGAGGAGATGTCACTTATGAAGAGAATGACATTTCCCTTCAAATAGGTTGTGGGATTGAAAAATCAGATTGCTGCTGAAAGACTAGTGTTAATACCAACAGGTACTATTGGTATACAACTACTCATTTTTACTCAAGTATGCACCACAATTTTTAAATCTTTTTACGACTGTGCTTTTTTCTTTCTCTAGGATGAGATTCCGCAGCCACATTCCTTAATTAATTCTTTTATAATCATTCTTCAAGACTCTGATTTAAAATATCTGCAAAGTTTTCTAATAATGTATTTCCCATTACATTATGCATGTTGTTTTCTTTATGTAATAAAGTGTAAGTTATTGAGGATTATGACTTTTTTCACCTTTATATTTAATGAATGTATTCTATCAATATTTATCTAATGTATATATATTCTCAGAACTTGTACATATTTTTGTTTTGCTGAAAATTAGTTTTATCACTTCTAACAAAATGTTCAAGTTACCTGTCTATGACTTTGACCTAAGTAATCTGAACAAGTTCTCTTGAAGCAAATATTTTATATTTATTTAAATGCTGCTTAATCTAATATTGCATTTTCTATTTCCCTCCTTTTTTATTCTTATTTCCTCTATTTTTCTTTGTTTTACTTAACAAAGAACCTGCTCATTTCAAACTGCTGATTTTCTGTTCAACTTTGGATCATTTCAGGAGTTAAAAAATCTTATAAAAATAGTCTTTATTGAATAATAGGGAGAAGAACATGATGTGGTCTTTGTTTTTCATGCAATTAGCAGTTTCTGATTTCCGAAAAGCTATGCTTATTTTTATTTTGCAATTTACAAGCTGCACTGTTGAAGTTTAACCATGACTTCTCTGTGCATACGTGAAACAGAATATTCTGTTCAGTAAAACCTCTCCTGAAATTTACTCTATGTTTGTGGGGCTGTTGTAAAATGTTACTGAAGTTCCTAATGAAAGAGAGAGACAGAGAGACAGAGACCTGGAAGACACAGTGATACCTACACTAAATGTCTTTCTCAACCTTCATATTTCATCTTGAATGGTGCTGATTATTGGGTAAGAAACTCAAATCTTAAATTTGGTAGTTAGATGCAGCAATAGAATATATTTACTTATTTATAAGCCTAAGCTCTGAAATGGTTTTATGCTCACAAAGTAGAAATAAATATAAAACAATTAAAAATAGGTCATATGAGCTTTATTTAGCCAATATTTAGATCTTTTATGTATGTCTAGCTTGGTAACGTAACATAGTCATCTACTACTGCCAGGCATTAGTCCAGTATGTTCACCCCTCAAAAGACTATCTAGTTAAAGCCTGTCTGAAGAGCTCACCTTTATAATAATGGCAGCACCCAGTTTCAAAGAATAAGATGCTCTGGAATGGATGTATTTGGGAGCTTGAGAGATTATTTTAGTTTCTCTGATTGCTCAGCTGTTTGAATAAAAGTATATTGAGATTAGAAGTTCCATATGGAAAAATTGGAGGGAGCTGGTGTGCCTTTATCTTTAAAGTCTGATTTTTAAAGGACCACCATTTCTGTAGGGGTAGAGATCATCTCCTTAGTAGTCAACATATTATCTTTAGCATTTAGCACAATATGTACAAAAGTGAAATAATGAAGATGGAAAAAGTTTAATGCAATTTATTTTATTTAATTGCACAATTTCCTTAAGCAAAGAAAAATTTTACATATTCTCTTGTCTAATGTAAGCTTGAAACAATTCTGTAAGTTAGGTTTTATTATTCTTATAGATGAGCATAATAGGTTTACAGAGATTGAGCAATTGTCTAATGTTAAATTTAAAGTACCTGTCAGATCTGCTTGACCCCAAGGACCAGGATATTAAGCCAGTTCATTATAGTACCATCTTCTATATTTTTTCGCTAATTCTGGAAATTGTTTGACCAAATGTAATTAACTCTCCCTTTTCCCTTTCTTTTCTACTCCCTTTTCCCTTTTCCCATTCAACTTTATGTGTTTTTTTCTTGTTTTTTTTTCTTGAGATATAATTAGCCTATAACGTTATATTAGTTTTATATGTATGATACAATGAATTAATATTTATATAAATTGAAAAAAATAATCATCACAGTAAATCTAGTTAACATCCATCACCATACATAGTTAACTTTTTCTTATAATGAGAACTATTAAGGTCTACTCTCTTAGCAACTTTCAAACTTGCAATATACATGTTTATGCATATAGCTTTGTTTGTTTATTTTACCAGGTGTACAGGATTCTAATATAAAATAAAGCTCAGTTTACTTACAGTCTCTTTTAGATTGATTACATTTTGTTTAGCCAATAAAAATTAATGCTTCTGCTCATCTGGTGTGGCTCAGTGGTTGAGCTTCAACTTATGAACCAGTAGGTCCCTGTTTGATTCCTGGTCAGGGCACCTGCACAGGTTGTGGGCTCAATCCCCAGTAGGGGGTGTGCAGGAGGTAGCTGATCAATGATTCTCATCATTGATGTTTCTATCTCTCTCTCCTTCTCCCTTTCTCTCTGAAATCAATAAACATATATTTTAAAAAAATTACTATTTCAGTGAATACTCTTGTGTTTATTTTCTGTGCACTGTGTGAGAGTTTCACAAGAATCTACACCACATGTTAAGTTTCTGGTCTTGTTTATGTACATCTACTAGATGCTACCACATTACTATTTAAAGGTTGTGCAGCAATTAATACTCAAACTAAGGACCTGAAAGTTCACATTTTTATCCTTTGTCAATATCTGACATTATCAAATATAAGTTATCTGGCCAATATGTTAAATGCTAAAAAGTGTTTGCTGGTTGTTTTAATTTACATGTCCTTAAAAAAATTGAGCATAATTTTATGTTTATTGGTCAGTATAATTTCCTTTTCTGTGAATTGTGAATTTGCCCATTTACTTTTCTATTTGTTCACATTTTAAAAATTTAAACTGCATCTTTATATATTCTGGGTACTAATTGTTAAAGTATTCTCTTCAAAACTGTCTTGAATTTTCAGTTTTTTAGTGGTAACTTTTATTATATATCTTCTATTATATCTGATATTAATATACACATATATATATAGTCACATTTGCATTCTGTTTATTTTATGATCTGTGGCTTTGTGTTAGACTTATAAATTTATTTTTATCCTGAGACCCTAAATATGTGCTATATATTATTCTAAAATATTTTTAAATGTCTGTTCAATTTGGGGCCTTTTATACTACTGTAATTTATTCTTAGGTGTGCAATGAGGTAAATAACTGATTTCCTTTCCTTGTAAATGAATATGAGTTGTCTCACTCTGTTTTCTAAACTGATTGAGCACTTTGGCTCTAGGATAACTTGGCTTCTCTCCATTGCCCTCTGCCTCCTTCTTCCCTTCGTCCAGTCAGTTTCTCTTCCAAATTCAAATAAAAAACATGACATTCAAACCCACTTTTCAAGGATGCGGTTCTCTAGACTCAATGACATTTCTGAAATTAATAGTTTTCTTATTTCAGCCATGGACAAAGAGCAAATGGCCCTGAGGAGAAGATATCAGACCTCCAATTTGAGCTGTAATTCCTCATGGATAATAACGTAAAGTCACTGCATCTCTAAGGTTCAGCTTTTTAACCCTTAAGTGTGGCAGCTGAACTGATTGAACTTTATTTTCTATTTGCTTTTATAAAACTAGGTCTGAAACCATGCAAAAGGAGAGTTGATGTACTGCCCCAAATCTCTTTTCTCCATTTCCCCCATTAGTTCTCTTAGAACTTTCCTCCCTTTAAAGCAGTAGGTATTCTTAGCCATGGCTGGTTCAAAATCACCTGGCCAACTTTTTAAAATTTGTTAACTGGACCCCACCCACCCAGATTAAACAGATTACAGGGTAAGTGGAAGAGTGTTATACAGTTTGGGCTTTTTGGTGGTGTTGTTAGAAAAACTCAGCAAAATAAAATTCTGGTTTATTGTTGGACAACATTGTTTCACATGCACATCAAACAGGCCAGTAAATAAGTAAACAAACAGCAACTTCATAGAGAGAAAAAATGGGGAGGAGAAACCTTTTACCTGTTTCTTTGGCCTTATACTAACTACTATGGTAGAGCTAAATACATACACAAAAAAGTTACTGGAGTTCTCAGAATAAGATTGTCTTTGCTGTTGTTTTGGCTCCTTCTTCTTCTTCCTCCTCCTCCTCCTCCTCCTACTCCTCCACCTCCTCCTCTTCTTCCCTGTTTGATTCCTGGTCAGGGCACCTGCACAGGTTGTGGGCTCAATCCCCAGTAGGGGGTGTGCAGGAGGTAGCTGATCAATGATTCTCATCATTGATGTTTCTATCTCTCTCTCCTTCTCCCTTTCTCTCTGAAATCAATAAACATATATTTTAAAAAAATTACTATTTCAGTGAATACTCTTGTGTTTATTTTCTGTGCACTGTGTGAGAGTTTCACAAGAATCTACACCACATGTTAAGTTTCTGGTCTTGTTTATGTACATCTACTAGATGCTACCACATTACTATTTAAAGGTTGTGCAGCAATTAATACTCAAACTAAGGACCTGAAAGTTCACATTTTTATCCTTTGTCAATATCTGACATTATCAAATATAAGTTATCTGGCCAATATGTTAAATGCTAAAAAGTGTTTGCTGGTTGTTTTAATTTACATGTCCTTAAAAAAATTGAGCATAATTTTATGTTTATTGGTCAGTATAATTTCCTTTTCTGTGAATTGTGAATTTGCCCATTTACTTTTCTATTTGTTCACATTTTAAAAATTTAAACTGCATCTTTATATATTCTGGGTACTAATTGTTAAAGTATTCTCTTCAAAACTGTCTTGAATTTTCAGTTTTTTAGTGGTAACTTTTATTATATATCTTCTATTATATCTGATATTAATATACACATATATATATAGTCACATTTGCATTCTGTTTATTTTATGATCTGTGGCTTTGTGTTAGACTTATAAATTTATTTTTATCCTGAGACCCTAAATATGTGCTATATATTATTCTAAAATATTTTTAAATGTCTGTTCAATTTGGGGCCTTTTATACTACTGTAATTTATTCTTAGGTGTGCAATGAGGTAAATAACTGATTTCCTTTCCTTGTAAATGAATATGAGTTGTCTCACTCTGTTTTCTAAACTGATTGAGCACTTTGGCTCTAGGATAACTTGGCTTCTCTCCATTGCCCTCTGCCTCCTTCTTCCCTTCGTCCAGTCAGTTTCTCTTCCAAATTCAAATA